TGTCATATTTCGAATTCCTTCCTTGCTGCCGTTTGTTTTGTCCATGCGGTACGTATGACTGTCGTTGGTAATTAAGTGATTCGGCAGTTGTGTGCACACACTGACACGTGCAGACAGTCAGTCAGAATACACATGTACTGTATACGTATGTGTGTATGTCATGTCGATCGTTGGTATACAGAGGCGCGGCTGACGCCTGTATTTAACAGTGTGTGTGGCTGGTGACATGGACACTTAACAATCGGTGGCCGCGACGTCAGTCAGTCCACTTGTTCACACACGTCGACGTCGGCACGTACCATCGACACAAAAGTGCTAATTAGCACACATACACATAGGTCTTCGATATCACGGCGTACTCACTGAAGCCCACAAAGGTCAACGACACATCCATCAGGTAAGCGAGGCCCAGGCAGCTTCAACACACGAATGCACACCTGCACGCGACGTACCGACATGACAGCCACATGGGATTACTGCCATCATGCAGAGCACACAGCGCACGTGGCTGTTGGGCCAGTGCCCACCGAAGATGGTCATGTATGTGAATGAGTGCATCAGGTGCGGCCCTCGGGCCGCGTCGACTCGATAATGACATCACCTCCGTAGGCCTGACCACACAGACACAGACAGCCACGCCTTTCACCCGTTACACACTGCCACTTGTGTGTCTCTCTCTGTGTGTGTCAGCCTACCTCTGTGGGCAGCGGTCTGTTCAGGACGTGCTCGTTGACTTCTCGTGTCAGCTCAGCCATCTCTGTAAGTGAAGCCACACACACAGAGAGACATAATGCCAACACTAGTGGATGGATGGATGTCATGTGTGTGTGGCCTCTCTCTCTCCCCCTCACTGACTGTCTTCCTTCGTCAGGGCAAACAGCAGACTTTCCTCGAGGGAATCCCCGCCGACCGACAACACACGCATCCGGGGGCGCAAGTCGACTGCACCCGCATAATGAGGCCATGACACACAGTGACGGTCTGTCTCCCTCACTTTGTGTCGTCTGTGGGGCCGTCGGCTGTCCGATCGTTTGCTGGTGGTACACAGCTGCCGTGATCGGAGCCCTGGTGGCTGCACATCGTATCAGGATCGGTCGCTGTGTGTCTCAGTGTCTCTGTGTGTGCGTCGGGTGTGTACTGTCGTGTGTGTCGAATGCACATGGCGGGCGGGGCAATGGGCCGGCGGGCGGCACCATCATCACACCAGGACCTAAGGGAGACACACACACACGAGCCCAGTGGACACAGCAGCACGACTCCCTCCCGACTCATTCACGCATACCATTCTGCATGACGGGAGGTCCATACGGCATCATCGTGGGGGCAGACGCCTCGTGGTGCGGCCAATACCCCACTGGGGCGCCTGCAGCACACGGACAGAAGACAGAGGGGACATCATGCAGTTAGTTGCA